TTTTACTTCTTCCTACTCCTTTTCGCACATGTTATAGAGGTATATTAACCCAGGAAAGAAGGGTACCTTGTTTGTTGTTTTCTTTCCAATGTTTTTAAACATTGTTTTATTGTTTTTCTCTTGCATGTTCGAAATAAAGAATAATAAAATTAAAAAAAGATGATTCAATAGGAAGTGAAACCATTCAGACTGAGAATATTAATAGATTCTGGGACTGATTATTTTTATTCATTTAGTTCAGATGATTCACTTTATTATTTTAAAACAATTGAAGTGTGAGAATCTGGCCCAGATGGTAAACATGACGGGACCCGTTTTTGTTTACAACACGTCTCCTGAACAACAACCTCCTTAAGGATCTCGTCTCATTTTGTTTTTCTCTCCGTAGCCAAAAGCAGGACAGCCTGCAGCGGGTTCCACGTCCACAGGGGAAACCTACCTTTGGGTTTGAACACAGAAAGATGTTCCAGGCGGAGTTCCTGCCCCGCGTTCCCATCTCAGGAAGTAACCTGAATGATCCAGAGTCACCCTGACCTCGGAGGGCGGTGGGAGCTCGCTCACAGCTGGAAAACAAACAGCCAAAACAGAAAGTCTGGATTAATTCAACATTTTTAACAGGAGGTTTCAAGTCAGAGGGGTTAAAAACCAAGTGGTTTTACCTCATAATCTGTTATTAAATCACTGTTTTATGCCACCATTTTATTTTATTCTGGACTTAATTCTTTAGTTTATTTTGATTTTTAAGGTATTGTCATATTTTCTCCTGGTTCTAACCTCAAACTTTTTATTTTAATGATTTTTCCACCCTTACCACAATGCTTTTGTTTTTGAAATATTGAATTTAGTCTGGATTTTCATATGGATTTGTACCCTGGCATTGCTCTGGTTTCAGATTACTGAAGGAACCTCTGCTGTCAGAGATAACCAGGCTTCAATCAGTCAATCATTAACAGAGATATATTTATTGGTGAGGCCGTTTTAGGAAGATGACGCCTCATTACGCTTTGAGAAGCGACCAAACCCAAGATGTCCGCTTTGAATCAACTCGCCTCGATTAGGTTAAACATTAAAGCTCATGGAAGAACAGGAGGAGAGATCAGCTGGTTTAAAGGGACTGAAGAACAAATCTCTCTTTAAAAGAAAACAGCAGCTTGGTTTGGG